CGACCACACTAGAGTTCAATCCAATATCTCACAAATATCAACCTTGGGACAAACTATATAACATGAATGAAACAAATTAGCTCTCTTTATGCAGCTTTATGAACTATATACATTGGATATAGCTCGATAATGTCTTAGTGATCATATCAGCAGCATTGTGATCTTTCGAAACTTTTAGCACTTGGACTTCTCCAAGCTAGACTACCCCTAGGATGAAATGAAGACTCACTTTGATGTGTTTGGTTCCTTCATGATACGTTGAATTCTTTGGCAGGTGTATCACACTTTGACTATCACATTTAACAATGATAACTCGACATTGAAGTTTCAGCTCCTTAGGAAAACTTTCAAGCCATAATGCTTATTTTACATCTTTAGTCAGGGCAATATATTCTACTTCAGTGGTTGATAAGGAGACAACCTTCTGAAATGTCGTTTTCCAACTAATTGATGTGTCAAACATAGTGAGCACATATCCAAAAATAGAATTTCTAGAATCCATACAACCTGCATAATCGGAGTTAGCATGTCCTTCGATTACTTCTTTACTATCTTCACCGCATGCTCCACCATAAATTAAGACTTTATTCAGAGACTCATTTATGTATCTTAGAATTCACTTCAATGCTTCCAGTGAGACTTTCTAAGATTCACCATGTACCTATTTACAAGACTTCTTCAATATGCTATGGAAGGTCTAGTACAGACAATAACATACATCAAAGAACATACTATGTTAGCTTAAGGAATTCTATTTATCTAAGCTATTTTGACCTCAGTACCGGAACATTGATCTATACTCATCTTGAATTGAAGGTTTATCGGAGTCACAATAGGCTTTGAATTCCACATACCAAACTTGTCGAGAATCTTTCATAGTCATGTATCTTGAGATAAGCATAATTTTGACTTCTTTCTATCTCTTCGGATGTCAATCCCAATAATCCCAGATTTATCTCCCATATCCATCATGTCGAACTCCTTATTAAGTCAAGCCTTCACTTTTATTACATCCTCGACATTGTTGTTTTCTATGAGAAACCTATGTGTGCCATGAACTTGTCAAATTTACGATTACACTATCTAGGAGATTATTTCAGTCCATATAAATATTTATTCAGCTTGCGCACATAATAATCCTTTCCCTTTTCTGCATACCCTTCAGATTGCCTCATCAGAATTATTTCATCTAGATCTCCATACAAGAAAGCAGTCTTCACATCCATTTGTTCCAGTTCTAGGTCGAATTGTGCCACCATGGCAAGTAACATTCGAATGGACCTATTCTTCACAATGGGAGAGAACACTTCATTGAAGTTGACACCTTATTTTTGAGTGAATCCCCTTGCAACAAATCTTGTTTTGTATCACTTTGACACCACTCCTTTGATTCCTTCCTTAACTTTGAAATTCCACTTACAGCTGACTAACCTGGCTTCGGCATGTTTCTTGATCAGTTGCCAAGTATGGATATCATAAATAGATTTAATCTCATCATCCATTTCCTTCAGCCATTCAGTCTTATTTCGATTCCTCAAAACTTTCGTACAGTCTCTAGGTTCTCCATCTAGAATCTCACTCGCATAGATTAATGCATAAGTTATGAGATCTGCATAACCAAGTCTTTGAGGTGGCTTGTTGAATCTTATTGGCCTACCTCTTGCCAACAACTAGTCATCGACAGTTTCCTCAACTTCCTCAGTATCATCAGCATATTGTGCTTCTTCTTCGACTTGATATGGGGTACACAATTCGGCATCGACATGCTCCACCAGAATAGGAATCTCATTGTGTTCCAGCTTTTCTTCAGATATCTCTACACTTTGACCAACGTCATCAGTTTTCTTAAAATCCATCTCAACCTCATTGAAAAATACATCTTGGTTGGTGATACATCTATTGTGATATGGATCTAGGCACCGTAGCATATAAGCTTTGACTCCTTCAAGGTATTCAATGAACATGCATTTCAGAGCTCTAGGTTCGACCTTATCTTGCCTAATGTGAGCATAGGCTATGCACCCAAATACTCTATGTTTATCAAGATCTGGTGGATGTCCCGACCAAACTTCTTCCGGTGTCTTTATATCTAACATTGTCGAAGGACAACAGTTTATCAGATTTGTTGTTTTCGAAACAACCTCTGTGCAAAACACCTTTTTTAACCAAGCACTAGTCAACATGCATCTAACTCTTTCCAAAATAGTTCGATTAAACCTTTCTGCCAAACCATTTTGTTGGGGAGTATTTGCAGTTGTTATGTGACCTGCAATACCAGTGGTTGCACAAAAAATGTTGAACACCTCATTTCAAAATTCAAGGCCATTGTCAGTTCTTAACCTCTTGACCTTTCTTCTAGTCTGATTTTCGACTAGAGTATTCCAATTTTTGAAATTCTCAAAAGTTTCATCCTTAGTCTTCTAGATGAATACCCATAACTTTCTGGAATAATCATCAACTATGGAAAGAAACTACCTTGCTCCTGAATGGGATGGGCACTTTTCAGGCCCTTAAAGATCAACATGGTTGTAATCAAGGGATCCATGTGTTTTTTTTGCCTTTTTTGAACTTCACTCTGCAAGATTTTCCAAGTAAATACGGTTCACAAAAATTCACCTTTTCAACTTTGTTTCCACCAATCATATTTTGTTTCCTCGGTACGAATAGACCCCTTTCACTGACATGGCCCAATCTCATGTGTTGAATTTCTGTCTTCTACAAATGTTTCAGGGATGCAACATCTGTAAAACCACTTATAACTTCAGCCTCAAGGGTATACAAACCATGTTTCTTCTTGCTTCTTAAGACTTCCTTCGACCCATTCATGACTCTTAAGATACTCTTCTATCCTTTGAAAACATATTCTTTCTTGTAGAATTCACCAAGAGAAATCAAATTTCTCTTCAAATCAGGTACATATCTGACTTCAATCAACAATCTTATTTACTCATCAAGGAGCTTGAATCTCACAGATCCAACACCTGAAATCTTTCAATCTTTATTGCTTCCCAGGAATACATAACCATCATCTTGATCACATAGTTCCTCAAACAAGTTTTTGTTTGGAGTCATGTGCCGAGTGCAACCTGAGTTCATAATCCACTCTTTACTTGAGTCACTGCTTGAAAGCACAAGAACATTAGATGACTCAAAACAATCTTGATTAATGGTTGTGCTGCCATTGTCCTTGCATCCATGATCTTTCAGGCGTTCAGGGTATACTTTTCTTATACAACCCTCCTTTTTATAATGATAACATTGAATACCAAATGCATAACCATTATAAGAGTTTTGTTGACTTTTACCCTTCTTTTTGTCAAACTTTTTATCTCTCTTTATGAATTTTTCCTTAACTGATAGATCTTCACCGGTCAAAGATGGCTTGTTCTCCTTTAGTTCGTTCAAATCTTTAGAATACAAGGCTGAATGAACTTCTTCAAAGGTCAGAGACTCTCTTCCATATAAGAGAGTTTCTTTGAAGTCGGTGTGTGATTTGGGCAAAACACACAATAGCAACAACGCTTGATTTTCATCTTCGATATTGACATCGATATTTTCAAGATCAATAATTATTTTGTTGAACATATGCAAATGCTCATCCAGGACTTTGTCTTCACTCATCTTGAATGAATACAAAGCTTACTTCAGGTAGAGGCGATTGACCAATGATTTGGTCATGTACAAACTTTCGAGTTTCACCCATAAACTCGATGTTGTCGTCTCCTTCGAGACCTGTCAGAGATTCTTATCACCAAGGCTTAATAAGATGGCGTTGTGGGCTTTCTCTACCATATGCATTTTTTCTTTTTCTGTTAATGCAACATACATGGTCGCGACTCCCTTTAACGCTTCTAAACAAACTTGTTGAACCAGTAAGACTTTCATCTTCAAGCGTCACAAACCAAAATCGTTCACTTCGGTGAACTTTTCAATCTCATACTTTGTTGACGGTATCTTCTCTACGTTCACTACACCAATTTATTATGAAAAATGATGCCGAAATAACAGTATAACAAGTTTTTTGATTGACAAGAAACCCACAATGGTCGAAAAGAGAGAATCAAGAAGAACACAATGAATTGGTTATAAACTGCTATTATTTTCTTTCTCTTTGAAACAAGATTACAAGTGTTATAGGATAACAAATAACCTCTCACCCTAATTAGAATTTGCATTGTGCAATGCTGAGAGACTAATATGCTATTATTTATAAGAAAACCAACTCACTAAATTAATGGGTTTTTACACACATGTCTATTAAAAAGATAATTTTGGGAACAAACTAACTTAAACAATTGAGATTAACAAACAGACTCAATTCGATAATGCTAACAATCCTAGCATTTCGACTATTGCATACTTGAGCATACTTCGACTATAATATTTTAGGACTTCGGCTACAACATGTGAAAGACTTCGACGTCATGCTAAGATCTTGTCGATTTATCGAACCAAGAAATTATTCTTCGATTATACTAGAGTTTGATCCAATATCTCACAAAAAAGAATAGTAAAGAAGAGTAATTGAAAATGATTATTTAGATTCTGATTTGAGAGGTAATTAAGATGACATAAAAGGTATTGCATGCTATTTATTTATAATTGGTGAAGCTCCAGTCACATAGAGTTCAAAGAAGCAACCAACAATTTGTTTATCATCATGTGAGGCTTTACCATCATGTGAGGCTGGTGCGTGTTGTTGGTTATGATAGTCATGTTAGTTACATAACTTGCGGAACAAATAATGAAGGGAGTTTGTTAGTTAAACGCTTTTGTATATTAGAAATGCTTCACTCATCAATAATAATCCATTCCCTTGATAACAAAATGGATTAAACATGATATGTCAAAGCGATATTATACTTGACATAAGATGTCTTATATGCAATAATAGTCTTCCTATGAAATGTTGTATATGTAAGTCTATATAACTAGCCACTCATATATATATATATATATATATATATTAAACATGATATATTGTATAATGCAATAGTCTTCTAGTCATTTATAGGACGAAGCATCCATGGTGGAAGAAGGGCATTAGCTCTAGCTTGGCTTCCTTCATCATCACCTCTATCTTGAGGGGAGCATCTGCATCAAGTAATTAAGCATCTAAGTAATATTGTATACTCTTTTTGTACATACAGATGATAAGATGAATGAATCTAGTTAAGAAGCTCTCATATGTTTTTGTGTGTTTACTCTTATCTTCAAGGGATGTGTGAAATTAAAATATACTAACCCAATATTAAATGTCTCCAATGATTGAGGTACAAGTGCAGCAGAGGCTAGTTCCATATCATCATTCTGTAGCTCAAGTTGGGCTAGTGCCTTCTCTTTCTCCTTTATCTAATTTTCACTCAAATCATTTTAAGTCAAATTTAAACCAAAATTTACATCTAAAAAAATAACTATATGATTTTAAATTACAGTCGCAATATTATTGATGCAGTAATCTCTGCAACCACTTACAATTATGATGTGATTTAAAATTATCAATATGAACCACATTAAAAATCAAAACTCAAACTCTAAAATTTAATTTTTTTTTAATGTAGTTAAAATCTTATCGCAATACACGCAATGCGATTGCGACCACAATTTAAAACGACACTATTGACCCAAAAAATAACATAAGTATAACCTTTTTTGTGAGCAGGTTGTTTTTTTCTTGAAGGGCTTTATCCTGCATTGAATAATAAAAAATGCTTATATAGAAGTTAAAGAGGCAATTCAAGCTTAACTATGATATTAAAATGAGAGCTACTAGATTTACCTTTTTTTGAAGCTCTGAAATGGATTCATACACAACTTGGTTCTGCAAAAGTTACAAATTAAAAATTCATAGTAAATAGCATAGATTTCAAAATGTATTGGCAAGAAAGAATTTGTTTTACACACCTTCCTTGATCTAATCTGTTTGAGAGCTGAATCAAGCTGATGCTCCAAATTCTGAAGGTCTTTCATACTTAAGCCATCAAGTTCTTCACCCATAAAATTCCTGCAAACAAAAGGATTAAGCAAAGTTATACATTAACATTACATTAACTAGATGTCACAATTAATCAATTGTTAATAACAAAACCTTTGATTCTTCTGTATGACTTCCAACCTTGCCTTCAACTTTGCATGTTCTATAATCCAATTTTCCTTAGATAGTGATACATAATCTCCAATTAATTAACATCAATTAATGATAACAAAATGAGTGGAAGATTGATTGAAATAGGAGTTTATGGCCTACATTTTGTGGCTGATCATTTGGAACAAGTTGCCTCTCCGCATATGAATACCTTTCATATCGTTCTAGAATTCTTTCCATACTGTTTACAAAAGAGATAATCATCAATATTATATTTCAAGGAGACACGACATAAGAGACAGTATCATGTAACACAGACATACATACTGTAGATTATTGTATTGTCCTTACAACAATATTGGTGATTAGTTATGATAAACGTTATAAATAATTATGTCAGCGGCATAAAAGTTTTTGCGATTTTAATCGATATATATTGTAATAATATTATTTTTTAGAAATCTTGATATTCGGTCTTGCGACCGATTAAAATTTATTTTTTATCATAAAAACGATAAATAATAGTATTAGGATCAAAACTTTTTGGTAACATACCATTTTGGAAAACCTTGGTTATGATCATGTGAGACTTATTTTTATCCAAATAAGATACTATTAGAAACTTTGCAAAAATTATTAACTAACCACTACAATTGTTAAAAAGAAACTAGGTCATCATGTTGCCGATCTTTTTCTCATGTATCCCACAAACTAATTTGACTCTTAGCTATTCCACCTTCACACCTCACATATATTTTTCCATAAAATATATGGGTAAGAGAACTACCTAAGACAATTGAGATATGAGAATGAAACAAACCATTCAACATATTTCGGAAGCTTCTTGTTAGTGGAGAAAATTTGATTACCAAAGAAACACACATAGTACAGAATCTAGAGAAAAGAGATAGGTAATTGAGGTTAGTTAAATTGTTCAGGAGTTATGTTTCATATTGATTAAATCTTTTAATATTCATAGATTGGGGAATAGGATTAAATAGAGTAAGTGGAATAGTTGATTATTTATAAGTCTTTGGATTTCATAGCGATTCAGGAGATTAAGATGGATGAAGCCTCATATTGTTTTGTGTATATCTTATTGAGAAACTCTTTTTGTGATTGGAGTTTTTCTCCGTGTTTAGGTAACAACGGTGGTCTCCTCTCTATTTGGTGTAGTTCGAATGAATCATCACTCTCTTCCTTTGTTAGTCTCAGTTACTTCGGTATCTGCCTTGAGTAGGGGATAACTAAGTCTATTTGGTTTTTCGTTAATATCTATTATAAGTGTAGGCTGAGAGAGAAAATGGCTTTGTGGCGGAACCTCCTGCTGAGGAGAGATAATCTTGGAAAGGGGTGTGGTTTGTTTTGAGGGATTTTTAATATTGTATATTCCTCGTCAAAAAGAGATAGATGGGATGGCTTTGCCCATAATGTTTGTAATATTGATTGTGTTAAGTTCACTAATTTCATTGTTGAGATGGAGTTGATTGATCTTCCTATGCTACGTAAGAGGTTTACTTGGTATCGGCCTTCTGGTGGGATTGCGAGTCATTTGAATATGATTCTTATATCGGGTGGTTGATGGGAGTTATAAGGGGACAACATCTCAATGGGATCTATTAGAGATGTGTTAGACCATAATCTTATTATTCTAAGATATTCCAATCAGTTGTGGGGGTTCTAAGCATTTATGATTTAATAATCATTGGCTTTCTCATCCTCGTCTCCATGAGCTCGTGCTTAGTAATTAGTCTAACTCCCAGTTCTCTAGTTAAAAAGCATTTGTACTGAAAGAGAAGCTTAAATCCCTAAAAGGTGTTTTGAAAACTTGGAATTATCAAATTTTTGGAGATATTGATTCTAATATTGCTTCCTCGAGGGTGGAGGTAAATTCTCTAGACACTAGAGTTGACCAAGGTGTATTATCAGAGGGGGTATTGATTATAGGAAAAAGAAGGTGTCAAATCTCGAATCCCTCTTTCAAAGTAAAAATGTCCAGCTTTTTCAAAGAGCTGGAGTCATGTGACTTAAAGAAAGTTAAGTCAATATTGGTTACTTTCATGCTTGCATCAAGAGTGGGTATATGAGGAATATAATTCTAGCTCTTAAGATATGTGATGCTTGGGAGGAATGAGTCTCTAAAATCTAGGAGGAGGTAGTTAATTATTTTTCTAATCATTTTAGAGAACATCTCCATGATTGGCCTAGGTTGGATGGTGTCCACTTTTTACCCCTCTCGGAGAAGGATTGTGCCAATCTTACAAACCCATTTATCCTTAACGTGATTTAGTAGATGGTTGCTCTCATCGCTGAGATGGATTTGCTTGATCTTTTTCTACTACTTAAGAGGTTTACTTGATATCAACATTTCTGTGGGAGTTGTGATTTATTTGGATACGATTCTTATATCGGGCGGTTGGTGAGAGTTATGGGGACAACATCTCAATGGGTTCTTCCTAGAGATATGTCAAACCATTGTCCTATTATTGTCAAATATTACAATCAGTTGTGGGATCATAAGCGTTTTTTATTCAATAATCATTAGCTTTCTCATCCTCGTCTCCCTGAGCTCGTGCTTAGTAATTGGTCTAACTGTCAGTTCTCTAGTTGAAATGCATTTGTATTGAAAGAGAAGTTTAAATCCCCGAAAGTTGTTTTGAAAACTTGGAAACATCAAATTTTTAGTGATCTTAATTCTCATATTTCTTCCTTGAGGGAGGAGGTAAATTCTCTAGACATTAGAGTTAAGAAGTGTGTGCTATAAAAAGGGAAGATCGATTATAGAAAAAAGGTGGTGTCAAATATCTGGTCCCTCTTAAGGATTAAAGATTCCTAGCTTTTTTGAAGAGCTAGAGCCATGTGGCTTAAGAAGGGTGAAGTCGATATTGGTTAGTTTCAATTAAGAGCGAGTCTAGGAGGAGTGAAATTCTAGCTCTTAAGGTAGGTGATGCTTAGGCAAAAGACGTCTTTGAGATCTACTAGGAGGTGGTTAATTATTTTTCTAATCATTTTAGAGAACATCTCCATGATTAGCCTAGGTGGGACGTTGTCCATTTTTTATCTCACTCGAAGGAGGATTGTGCTAGTCTTATATCCCTTTTTCTCCTTATTAAGATTGATTGGAAGATTGCTCTATGTGATGGTAACAAGATTCATGGACCAGATGAGTTCAATTTCTCATATTTTTAGGAGTTCTTGGCCACTTCTTATGGATGAGATTGGGATTATGTTCGAGTAATTCCATCAGTTTTCTTCCCTCCCCCATGGTTTTTTGGTGACCTTTATTTCTAAGGTCGACTCTCCATCTCAGATGGGAGATTTTTGGCATATCTCCTTGGTAGGGTCACTTTATAATCTTCTAGCTAAAATATTGGTGGGCAGGCTCGCTGGTGTTATGGATAAGCTTTTTTCTCCAAACCAGTCAAGCTTCCTTAAAGATAGATTTCCGGTTGATGGGGTCGTAGTTGTGAATGAGTTGGAAGACCTAGCCAAGAAGAATAAAAAGCCTTGCTTTACTTTTAAAATTGACTTTGAGAAAGCTTATGACTCGGTTAGTTGATCATTTCTAGATTATATTCTCTTTACATTTGGTTTTAATGATAAATGGAGATGTTAGATTCGTGCGTATGTCTTTTGTGGTAATCTTTTGGTCTTAGTTAATGGTTTCCTGACTCAAGGAGTTAGTATCCAAAGGGGGTTGAAACAATGGTTTCCTAGTAAGATTAATATTTGATTTGTTTTACATTCTAGCATCCCTTTCTTGTAGTTTTATTCTTTCTTTATTATTATAATTCTTAAGGTTATCTCTCATTCACATTCAGGAGATTTTTGACCCATTTTTCTAATTGGGTCCATGTATAAATTTGTAGCCAAAGTTTTGGCAAGTAGACTTGTGACAACGATGTATAAGTTGATCTCATATATTAGTCATTCTTTCTTAAGATAGAGTTTAGGTTAATGTATTGGTAGTAGTTAATAAGCTTGTTGATTCGGTAAACGAAACTAAGAAGGACAACCTCATTTTCAAGGTTAATTTTGAAAAGATGGATTAGGTTTGTCAAGGTTCTCCTTATTTTCATCCTTAATTCAATCCTAATCTTCTATCTCTCCATATTGAAAAGGTTTGTCAAGGTTTATTGAGAAAAACCAAGTCCCATATTGGTTAAAGATTATACTTGAAAGAGTTTATATAGAAATGACAATCATCATCTTACAAGCCAGTTTTGTAGGGATAAGTTAGGTCCAACTTTAATATCGTATCAGAGCTCTAGTTGACTTGGTAGGAGTGCGATTTATAAGAGATGTGACTCATACCCCCATTGTCTTAAAATTTTGGATGAATCTTCCACCGAGTTAACCAGGGCTCTGAGAGGTGACATGTACTCCATTGCCTTAAGATTTTTGATGGATATGTAGTGTCAATGTCTCTTGAATCATGAACGTTTGACTCATTAACACTTTCGACGCTCCCCAAACTCTCTAACAAACATTATTTGAAAATAGCCTATCAACTTAGGTCATCATATTTATATATACGCGTCAAGTCTAATAATGTTGGACATAAAGAAATATATTTGAAAAACTCAAATTTCATATTAATTAAAGATAATATTCAAAAAATTTATATAGAATGTCACTCCTCCCCATACAAGCTGCTTTTATAGATATAAATTTCGTTAAACTCTAATAAGATTTAAAAGCCAATTGTTAATATCAGAGAAGAACTTTCTATAGATAAGTGTTAAGGGTGAGCCAAATATCCTAACCTATATTTAGAAGCTTAACTAAAAAGGTGGATTAGGAGTTCATGATATTTTCCATTTCTAAACCAATATAATATATAGAACTTCGCCCTTACAAAAACCTTTATATCCACCGTAAGCTCATGTGTCTATAAACATCGAGATGTCCTTTTCCAAACTCAAACAGTTACTATTGTGTTTTTTCTTTTAAACCTTTATCCATTTAAATTGAGTTGTCACCATTCAATTTCCAAGTAATAAAATTGAGTTCACCAACAAAATCCAAGTAGTTGAAATAGATCTATAACAGTCCAAAGGTTAATTATGTACTCGCAAAAAACAAATTTTTTGTTCCACGTTTAGGTCTATGATAATTTAAATCTAGTTTTACTGAGGTATATTAAAAAAGTCTAACTAAATATTGTTATAACAAGGATTATAACTAAATTTCTCAAAAACTACTGGTTTTAATCGAAGCAAATATAAGTTGTTGAACCTA